CAATCTAGCCGGAACTGGCCCGAGTGTATTTTGCTATCTGGGAATGAACTCCAGGTTTAAAGAGTAGTTTACTACAAAATACACTGTGTATAGCACAGTAATGACTGTATTCCATAACCTTACCTGGATTGGTGTATTGGTGACGGAGTTCTTTGATGCACTCACTGTTCCAAAAGTCTCAAGAGTCCTCTTTTAGAACATACAGTATCATCATGTGATGGGAAAAAGCTCAACACATTGGAGAAATCGAGTGTGGCAACAAAGCCAACAAAGACGGATGTTGTGCTAACTGCGTTAAGAGTTTAGGAAACTTGTTAGATGTATTGAAAAAAACTGTCATAGCCATTGTAATAAACTGTAAGACACTTGTTGCTAATGCTGTGACCACATGTATAAAAGCAAGCACAATGGATGAAGGCAGAGTCAGGGGAAGAGGAATTCACGTCAGAGGAGGGAGAAGAGCTGGCCATAGAAGAAGAGGAGCAGCTCAACGAGGAAGAGGAAGAGGCCAACAAGGGAGAGGAGAAGGTCCATGTGGGAGAGAAAAAGGTCCCCCCAAGACAACCTCGCACCATCATTACGCACGAGATGCGAGAAACAGTCATTGACCATGTCAATATTACTCTTTGTGTGGGCATGCATTTGGATTGGATTGTCCCCCAGCATGCTGTCCTTGGATCTTACAACACCCAACATCTCCTCACCTACCTAGAGGAGCTAAGAGACATCCTCCTGGACCACCAACAACACCATCCTGGGCCCGCACATCACATTTATGTGATAATTTGAGACAATGTCATTTTTCCTACGGTGCCTGGCATAAGACAATATAGCCTGCGATGTGGATGAGGTGATGTGGCCCGATGCAGCTCAGTGACATGATGGCACACACTGCTTGTGGTGTTTAAGTGTGTGTGTGTGTGTGTGTGTGTGTGTGTGTGTGTGTGTGTGTGTGTGTGTGTGTGTGCGTGTGTGCGTGTGTGTGTGTGTGTGTGTATGCGTGTGTTTGTGGTGTGAATAAAGTAAATAAAAACTTTACACCCTGATCATGTTTTCAAGAGTAGTGTTGTGTGCAATAGATTCTGTTTTTGCATTAAGTATTTTCTATAGATTTATACTCTTCATATGAAACTCACAAATCTAAATGCCCAATCCTCTGCACAGGTCTAAGAAGATCTGTTACTGTAGAGTTTCTAAAAATATGCATTGGCAGTTATAAAACAAAGCACCTTCTCACAAATTGAGCATTATGTTTTCAATTGTTTTGCTGTCGTGTGTAATGATGTGTATAGAGTTTACATTTATGAATGCTTCGATCTGCTCTTTTGGTGTGAAAGTTTGAGTTTTGAAGCGAGAAGGTATGGTTGTGTTTATGTAGCTCTAGAAAATGATGTTGTGTTTAGAAATTGGGGAACATGGAGGAAACGTTTGCGAAATGTGTTTTAGCATTTAAGAAAAAACTGTAATAATACCAAATGTCCCCACGAATATAGCAATACCAGTCATTTTTGATGTTGGTCCCCGTGAGGAAAATTACAGGTAAGGTTGAAAAAATTGGACAGAATATATAGTGTGTGCCTTATAAAAAATTATTTTATCAGTGTTGAGTCTCCATAAAACATGAAAATCCAACTTATATTTGTGTGTTTGTGCGGGGTCTCCACATCAAACCATCTCTAAGAGCCACATATCTATTGCTTGTTATTGCTTGTGTGTTAGACCATACTTATTTCTAAATAAGCTTCACTGGCTCTCTTTAGGAATCACCACCGTTCTGACCATGACCACAATCAACACTCATCTTAGAGAGACGTTACCCAAGATTCCTTATGTGAAGGCCATAGACATCTATTTGATGGGCTGCTTTGTGTTTGTGTTCTTGGCTTTACTCGAGTACGCCTTTGTCAACTACATATTCTTCGGCCGTGGACCACACTTGCAGAAGAAAGTGGCAGAAAAAGCTGCAAAAAGCAACAATGAGAAGAGTCGGTTGGAGAGTAACAAAGTTCAGGTGGGTCATATTATTCTTTTTATGTTTATTTTAAGATGCACTAAGTGTTTTTCAATTATTTTTTGTTTAAAATAAAAGATAAAGGGCCATCACAGTGGCGAAGTGGGTAGTACGATCGCCTCACAGCAAGAAGGTGGCTGGTTTGAGCACCAACTTGGTCAGTTGGCATTTCTTTGTTGAGTTTGCATGTTCTCCTCGTGTTGGCATGGGTTTCCTCCGGGTGCTCCGGCATCCCCCACAAGTCCAAAAACATGCTGTGTAGGTGAATTGAATAAGCTAAATTGGCCATAGTGTATGTGTTTGAAAGAGTGCGTATAGTGTTTCCCAGTGTTGGGTTGTTGCTGGAAGTCCTTTAACATAAAACATATGCTGGATAAATTGGCGGTTCATTATGCTGTGGTGACCCCAGATTATTATAAGGACTAAGAAAATTAATGAAGGAATAAAAGATAGTTTATTTATAGGATATTTCATTGTATCAGTGAAATTTACTGGCAGTTTCCTGGTGATTTTATTTTATTTATTTTTTTTTTTACAGTTATTTCTAAATCCACATTTTGTAATGTATTTTTTTTTTTTTTTTTTGATTGTGCCCCTGGACTTTCCAATATATTAATATAAGCTTTGCTGTAAGTGTCTTTAGTGTGTTTGTGCTACTGTGCGCTCAATCCACTCCACACTCTTCACTTATCAGCTCACAGCAGCTTTAAAGGCAAAATTATTGAATTTATGTCATCATTATATATGTCATTATATCATTCTGTTAATTCAGTACATTTACAAACATATTTAACCTCCATTCTGTTCTTTTTATGTTATGTTGTTGGCTGTAAACAAGCTGTATTTTTGGTGCCAGTTTTTTTTAAATATAAGAACACGAGTGCAGTATCAGTGTTGGTACATCCCTAAAATGAATTAAGCTTCATACTGCTGATACAAAATCTCAGGACATCTCTATTATTTTTACAAAATAATGCTCACTGCTTAATCACCCCTGATGAAGTAGGGAATAAGCCTAGGAAAGTGAGTACTCAATCTGATCAGCCATGAAAACAGTTATGCTCATTAGTAAAAACTGTAATTGTTACTGAATTCTATTTACTGTATGTCTTCATGCATAGCGCTTTTTGTAATAAGAATGATCTAAAGGGCACATATTGTGAAAAATACTTTTCAAGCAGTTTGGACAGACATGTGTGTAAGTATAGTGTATAGACCGTCATATTGGGGTGATATAAACACACACAGTTGTTCTTTTTATTTATTTTTTTTAATTTAACAACATAAAAACGGTGGACCAATTGGAGCTGTTTTTAGATTGACCGCAACTTGACTTAGGAGTGCAGTCCCCCGCCCACCAATATTGATTGACAGCCGCGCGTCACGATCATATCCTCAGTTTGTTTCACGTCCGCCATTTTCAGTGTGAGAGTCAACCGATATCACTAAAGGAACACCCTTGCTCTAGTTTTAGATGTAAGGCTCATTGGGCTCAACACAAGATCAACATTAACCACATGATTGCTGTAAGGCAAGGCAAGGCAAGGCAAGTTTATTTATATAGCACATTTCATACACAATGGCAATTCAAAGTGCTTTACATAAACAAGAATAAAAGAAACAAGTAAAATAAAAGTAAAAACAAATAATAAAAATGCATAAAAACAAAACAAAACATAAAAACAGGTAAAATGTGATATGAAAAAATGAAGAAGAAGAGAAAAACATGATAGTGCAATCTGTCGGACGCAGCACAGTGCTCATTCAGTAAAGGCACAGCTAAACAGATGTGTTTTCAGTCTTGATTTGAATGTGCCTTATGTTGGAGCACATCTGATCATTTCTGGAAGCTGATTCCAGCAGCGAGGGGCATAGTGGCTAAAAGCCGATTCACCCTGCTTTGACTGAACTCTTGGAACTTCTAGTTTATATGATCCTAAAGATCTGAGTGATCTGTTAGGTTTGTATTCAGTGAGCATATCTGTAATGTATTTAGGTCCTAGGCCATTTAGTGATTTATAGACCAGTAATAATACTTTAAAATCTATTCTGAATGTAACTGGCAGCCAGTGTAAAGACCTGAGGACAGGTGTGATGTGCTCTGATTTTCTGGTTCTGGTTAGAATTCTGGCTGCAGCGTTCTGGATGAGCTGTAACTGTCTGACTGTCTTTTTAGGAAGACCAGTGAGGAGTCCATTACAGTAATCCACCCTGCTGCTGATAAAAGCATGAACAAGTTTTTCTAAATCTTCACTAGAAACAAAGCATCTGATTCTTGCTATGTTTTTGAGATGATAGTATGCTGATTTACTGACTGCTTTGACATGACTGTTGAAACTCAGATCTGACTCCAGAGTCACACCAAGATGTAATCGGAATTATTGTTTGTAAGTTAGTTTGTTTGTAAGTAGGTTTGCAAATGTGTACTTTTCATTGCGTCTACCTTAAACTTTTTTCTCACGGTCACAGAAGCTCCCTGTGATCTTAACTAGGTGCAGCTGGAAAGTGCGAGCTTTCTCTCAGGGTATACACAATGGTGCTTTCAGCCGGCGGCTGTCCACGGCGCCCAGCCACAATTGGGACACTTCATATTTCTGTTGTGCCACAGAGCTCCATCGGAATAGTTTCATTTTAAATAACATGTGAATGTGCGTGTCTGGTATTCCGTGTCATGGCTAGCAGTTGGCTGTAAAACTATGCAAAGACACATGATTTTGTAGTCTCTGCTTGGTCTGTGTACGAGTTGTACATGTACGGCTAAATGCTGCTTCTCTTACTCATGTTGCATCTCTCTGTGTCTGCCTGTCGTTTGCCAAACACAGAGCGGGGGAGCTCTTGGCTCCGCCCTCTTGTTAAGTTGGGCGGTAAGTCGAAACTGATTTTCATGTAAAGCAACACACCCCTAAAACAGCGACCTGTGTACACGCCTCGAAAATAACACATTTGAACACATTATGATGAAAAAAAAATCTGAACTGTTTTGAACTGAACTTAAATTGGCACACTCAGAAGAACCATAATATTAAAATTAAATCTTAAAAAGGGGTAAACTATGTGCCCTTTAAAGGGTTAGTTCACCCAAAAATTAATATTATTCATTATTCATTAATTTATTCATTATTCACCCTCATGTTGTTCCAATCACCCAAGAGCTACACAGATAAAATATTTTTTTTAGAAAAGCAAGCAAAAACAATGTCCAAAACATTCTATGTGACTTCAGTGGTTCAACTATAATCATACAAAGCTTCAAGAGCACATTTGTGCACCAAAAAAACTGTATACAGTTAAAGTCAGAATTATTAGCCTCCCTGAATTATCAGCCCCTGTTTTTTTTCTGTTTAACGGAAAGAAGATTTTTTTTCCAAACTTTTCCAATAAATCATATATAATTACTGATTTATTTTATCTTTGCCATGATGACAGCACTCAATATTTGACTATAAATTTTTTAAGACATTTAAAATGAAAAACTGCTTTTGTTCTAGTCAAAATAAAACTAATAACGTATTATTAGTTAATAATTACCCCTAATAAGGGTTTGGTGGGGTTTGACAAGGTGCTCGCGACGTGTCGGAAGAGCGAGGAGGGATGCTGTGAGGAGGGGGAGAAGGGTGCGCAACGTATTTGAGGACCTGGAGGGAGACGCACGATTTCCGGAAGATTGTCACTCGTTTGCGGGCATCTGGGAGTCCCTGTGCATTTGTGGGAAACTCATGAAACTTCCGGGAGACTTGGGATGTCTGTTGAATGACCACCCGCCCTAGTCATAATTCTGTCTTCCTATAGCCGTATGCCTTTTGTTACATATCCATAAAACACTGTGATATAACCGGGCTCAGATCGTTTCTCACTACAATCAATCCGCTTCAGAGTTCGTTTCAATCGATCTCAGAGCGATTGTTTTGGCGCGGATCCAAGCGCGATTGGTGGTTACACATACGCCAAACGAACCGCGCTAACTAGGCTAACGAGACAGGTTCCAAAACAAAAGTCTAGGTGTGAAAGCACCCTAACACATATAAGATTAAAGTAATGCAGTAAACATTATTTGTCAACATTAGATGTAACGTGAAACTCTAATATTGAGAAAACAACTAAAAGAACCAGTATGTCTTCAAAACAACATAAAAAGTGTCATGTGGGGAATTCTGGAATAATTTACAGTTATTCACCATATATAATAAGGCAGGGGTGCTCAATCCTGTTCCTGGAGATCTACCTTCCTGTACAGTTTAGCTCCTACCCTGATCAAACCCACCTGAACCAATTAATTAGGACCTGAAATCCACTTGTTAATTACAGACAGGTGTGTTTGATAAGGGTTGCAACTGAACTCTGCAGGAAAGTAGATCTCCAGGAACAGGATTGGCCACCCCTGTTCTAAGGAAACTGGCTATTAACCAGGTTACAGTATTTTACTGTTGAAATCACAGACATTTTTGAGTGTTTATGTCAACATGTTTGCTCATATTCTGTTTTTTTTTTTTTTTGTATCCTATTAATAAAGGTTGATGTTCACGGAAGCATTCCCCTGACAAACCTTGATCTGCGACTGAGCGGGGCAGAGATGTTGGGTGCACTCGGGGACCCAAGAAACACCATGTTCTCTTATGACAGTGCCAGCATCCAATACCGTAAGCCCCTCACTGGTAGGGACCTTTACGGTCGGCCCACTGCCTCAATCGAGAGACCTCTGGCACCAAAAAAGAGTCGACTCAGGAGGCGAGCCGCTCAACTGAAAGTGAAGATCCCAGACCTGACGGACGTAAACGCCATCGACAAGTGGTCCCGCGTAATCTTCCCCATCACCTACACCTTCTTTAATTTAGTTTACTGGCTTTATTATGTCCACTAGAGAGCAGCACCAGCCCCTCACGTCAGGTCAGACCTTTTTATTCTCCTTGCGGTTTGGACTGTCAGTCAGACAGGAGGAAGAGGTGCGTTCTGTAAATGATTCTACTTTAAATATATAGAATATTAATCTACTGTATATTAGAATTTTTAATTGAGAAGTTAAAATGACTACCCAATTTCCAAAGCTGCGTATTATGCAGTAACTATTAGCTTAAAAAGGTCACTGGATTTTTGCACTTGTCTTCTGTAGGATCACAGTCACTGATTGCAGAAAGTACAATTACATTGTGGGGAGAAAATTGACTGCAGATGACTGCACTGCAGCACTGTTTCAGACAGGATTGAAAGTAGCAATTAGAAGGTCTTAAAAAGATAGTTCACCCAAAGATTTGAATTCTGTGATCCTTTTCTCATCCTCAAAGTTTCAAAACTTGTCTGACTTTCTTGCGTCAGTTAAACACTTACTAAACTGTTGATAGTTGAACCAAGTCTTGGTCTAGTTTTTCGTAGCTCGCTTAAATGATCTAAGATGATTTGACAGATCCTAGATCTTTTTAACTTGATAACTGATCTCTGGCTAATTTAGTTCTTCAGACAAGTTTGTGAATCAGATTAAAATGTCTGGATAAATTGATCTGAGATTGCTGTGTGTGTTGGGACAGGCAGATCTATCGATCCTCGAAATCAGTAAAATATCAGCATTCTGTGCATGCTTTCAGTATTACCTTTGCTTGAAATGACCCAATCTAATCCTGTTTATATAAAATGAGCCTGCTCCCGAGCAGGTTTAAGCTACCAGACCTCTTGCTATGACAACAACTCTTGGATGAGTTTTGAAAAACTTAACGATCCTGGATCGTGTCAAATCATCAATAACCAAATCCAGCTATTAGAGTATTCCTCGTACAAAGAACAGACCCCAGTTGATAACTGACTAAACAGACACTAACTTAATTTTTTTCTTTATATATTTTTAAAGTGCAGAGTAATTTTAATTTTTAGCTAAACTGTCCCAATAAAAGGATGTTCTGAGTTTGATGAAAACTCTGTTGACAAAATTGTGGGATAAATTTAATTACTCTACCAAAAAGAAAGACAAAAAACTCATTACTTTTTGTATCAGATCAAACACTTACGACTTTTTATTGATACATTTTCAGTTTTTGCATATAGGTGATATCAGCTTCTTCTCTGCCAGCATTTTTAACAGTTGCCAGCTTGCACCAAAATTTGCATCATTTTACTAACATTATAGAGCCTCTATTTTGAATTATAAAAGGTCAGATTTTGGTTTTGGGGGTCTCCAACAACAGTCTGATATGCGTGCAAGGTCAAAAAACACTTTCATTAGTGCTTCACTTTTGATTTCATCTTATAATATGCATTTATTTTTACCTAATTATCCCAATGGCTCCCATATGATTTGTTTAGCGATTCATTTGTTCCCAAATCCCTCCTTAGCATGAAGCTAATCTGCTGTGATTGGTCCGATGACCCACTCTGTCGCGATTGGTCGACTGGGTTCAGAGCGAGACAGAGAGAAACGCCAACCACGGTTATGAAGTAGCACACAGTGCATGTTAGAGCCCATTGCAGGAATGCCTTAATAGAATGCAGTTAAACACCAGCATATTACTCTACTCTTAAACCTAACCCCAAGTAATAACAATGACACATTCCGTATTAATCCACACAGTCGCAAAAGTTGAACTATTTTGAAAATTGTTGTGCGCGTGTTTATGAACAGCTTATAGTGGCTATAGCAAAGACAGAATGCAAGGGATCGCAACTTCAGATACACATTTAAATCAGTAAAGGAAAAAGCACGCATTACATCTTTAACGTGGTTTCGGACGCAATATGTGAATAGCCCCATAAAGATTTACCCTGAGTAATACAATACAAGCACTGATCTATAATTGATAAGTGATTAAAACCCGTGAGGGGCGATTACATAACACACAAACACATAGTTTGCAAACAACACATAAAGAGTCAACAGTTTTAATTACACTTACATGTTGATGAGATGATCCAGAGGAAAAAGAAACTGGTTCATAAGAACTGCAACAGTTACTGACAAAGTCCCATACATAATAGTCTCCGCTGCTCCTTCCTTTAATAGCAAACGGCCAACGAATGCAGGAAAGGTTATTGTTTTAAAAAGAAGAAAAATAACATGAACAAATACAGCACTAGGCTATATACTGTGTGGTATTGTGAAAATTAACTTTAACCCTTTATTCCCCACAGCTGAATCTCCATCTGTCAGTGATCGTCATCTTCGTGTTATGATCAGTCCCATGATCCCCTGTGCTCCGCTAGTGTCTGAAGGGAAAGGTGCGTTCATGTTTTACCAGATCCGGTACTACATAAATGATGATGTACCTTATTGATGTCAATGCACTCAAGCAAAATATCCGAACCCAACATTATTCGTTTATTTGACTCTGAGTCGACTATTTCAGTAAAGAATTCATAGTTTTAAACACGGTGCACTTTCAGATTTAAACCTCAGCTGGATGTTTTCATTCACTTAGTGCTGAGTTACACACTGCACAAAAGGTCATTTGCATAAACCCAAAATAGGGGCTTTTTAAAATCAAAACACAAAGACCAATCGAAACAATATTTTCTTAAGGGGGCTAATAATATTGACCAAAAAATATTTACCATCGACTTCCGTAGTATTTGTTTTTCCTGCTATGAAAGTCTGTGGTTACAGGTTTCCCACGTTCTTAAAATATCTTCTTTTGTGAGCAACAAATAAATAATTACAATAGGTTTGGAATAAGTCAAGAGTGAGAAAATGATCACAGAATTGTAATACTTGTGTCAAGTTTGTCCCTGAAATCCTCAACGCAGTTCAGACACATTATAAACTGTAGATAAAATCTTTTTTTTTTTTTTGGCTTAGTACACTGCAAAACAATGCTTTTCTTACTTAGATTTTTTGTCTTGTTTCTAGTCTAATAATCTAAAATTTCTTATATCAAGAAGCATTTTCTTGACAAGCAAAACATATTGTCTCGTTTTGAGAAATAATATGCCGATATTAAGTGAGTTTTTCCTTAAAACAAGCAAAATAATCTGCCAATGGGGTAAGCAAAATAATCTTGTTTTTTTTTTTTTTTGACGTAAGATTATTTTGCTTACCCCATTGGCAGATTATTTTGCTTGTTTTAACCAAAAACTTACTTATTATTGGCATATTATTTCTCAAAACAAGACAATTTGTTTTGCTTGTCTAGAAAATTCTTTTTAATTTAGGAATTTTCAGATATTTGGACTAGAAACAAGACAAAAAATCTAAGTAAGAAAAGCATTTTTTGCAGTGTAGCAGGTCTTGGTTACAGTGTTTATAAGGCATAATTAGTATAATATGACTATGATATTGATTTTACTATGAATGATATTCTGTGGCCTAACACACATCTTCAAAGTGGTCATTTGGCCAGAAACCTCAACATGAAAACACATGATGACAAGCAGGATGTGGGATCAAAGGCCACAGTATGTAAATTTGTACATTAAAGCATATCAGGTATCAAAAGATAAATGATGTCATCATGTTTTGCATAACTTCTTATAAAACAACAAATCCTGCATAATTCATTCAAAGCAGCATTGAATTTCAAACAAACTAAGGCCTAATATAAACCAAGATTTATTAGTTTAAAAGACTGTGGTTTTGATTTATTATATGCAGCTTAATAACATTCAAATAATAAATGATTCAGAATTCCTAACAAACACTATCTAAATGTAGCAGTCACTTTAGATACAGTCGGGCACTGACTTTTAGGCATACAGTATAGTTAGAATTATTTATATACATTAGTACAGTAAGTGACCTCACTATATTCACCTTAAGCTTTTGCATTTAGCTTTAAATGTATTCACTGTGAGTTATATATGACCCAAGCTCACTTAAATGGCAGATATTTCCTCTTTATGGCTTAACTCGTGCCTTTTTAAGAAAATAAAAACTACAGGGTTTGACATACGAACGCAGGTGCAGGCATATTATAGATGGATTTCCACTTTTCTATAAAAACACAGACTACTCAAGGTTACCACGTGTCAAAATTTAAGGTACTTTTAAGGGCTTTTCCAGTGCCCTGTGTTAATATCCCATACATGATTAAATAATTACAACAAAATGCATTTGGCATGTAAATAAAAGCTTGCATTGCAGCTCTTTTATTGTCTCAGTGTGACAATCTAACTTGGACATGAGCAGCTCAGTTGTTGTCATTGAGTGAATTAACTTCATTAAAGCCAATCTCATGAGTGGCGATGTAAAATCCAAGCATATTCGCACCACTCCAGCATGAATACACAAACACAATCAAATCATTACTTAAGTTTTGATTGCCTATTTACCACTCATACATAGTGTTTGGATTGGGAATGCCAATAACAGCAAATGCCAAAAAAGAAGAAAAACACATACAAGTATTTTCTAAGCAGTGTCCTGTCATCGCTGTATGATTTCTGTAATTACACTCACTCTATTGATCAGTGCACTTGTTCAGCTGTAGTGTGTTGAAGGAGAATGTATCATCACTGAATGACTGTATGTATGTACTGTATGTGTGCAAGTCCAAGACTACAACCACAGTTGTTCTGAAGGATTCTTTATTTTAAGTCATGGACATTTTGAATGAATTCAAATAAAATATCTTACCAAGCACAACATGTTGGTGTTTTTTGTGACGTCAATTCAGATTCCAGTTGCTGGATCGATTTGTTACCCTGTTAGCATTGGTTGGTTCAGTTGTTCAGTGATATGCTGTAATCTGGAGGTTTTCATTGTTCGTGCAATGTGATATTAGATATTAGACCTAAAGGGTTAGTTTACCTAAAAATAAAGATAAACTCATGATTTACTCACCCTCAAGGCTTCCTATATACTTTCTTGTTCAATCCGAGTTAGTTTTTTTAATCTTCTGGCTCTTTGAAGTCATGTCATGGGGTGAGTGTGTCTTTTTAGAAGTCCAAAACAAGTCCAATAAACCACATCCGCCCATAGTGGAGTGAATAAGTAGAAAAACCATCCGTTTTTGTAAGAAAAATATTTTAATGTTGAGCTGCACTCTCATTTAATCATTGTAGAGCTTTAAAAAGAAAGAGATTATTATTATTATTTTTTTAATAATTCAATTTGGATTTGACTGAAATAAGAAAGTCATGCAAATCTGGGATGCCTTGAGGGTGAGTAAATCATAGCTTTATTTTCATTTTTGGGCAAACTAACCCTTTAAGAATCAAGCTGGACTGAATTATTTGTGGAATTGTATATACTGTATACATTCACCAGCCACTGTATTAGGTACACCTTACTAGTACCCTTTGCCTTCAGAACTGCCTTAATCCTTTGTGGCATAGATTCAACAAGGTGCTGGAAATATTCCTGAGAGATTCTGGTCTATATTGACATGATAGCATCACGCAGTTGCTGCAGATTTTTTCAGCTGCACATCCATAATGCGAATCTCCTGTTCCACCACATCCCAGAGGTGCTCTATTGGATTGAGATCAGGTGTCTGTGGAGGCCATTTGAGTACAGTGAACTCACTGTCATGTTTAAGATACCAGTCTGCACTTTATGACATGGTGCATTATTTTTCTTAAAGTAGCCATCAGAAGATGGATACACTGTGGTCATAAAGGGATGGACATGGTCAGCAACAATACTCAGGTAGGCTTAGGCATTGACACGATGCTTAATTGGTACTAATGGGACCAAATTGTGCCAAGAAAATAACCCCAACACCTTTACACCACCACCAGCCTGAACTGTTGATACAAGGCAAGATGGATCCATGCTTTCATGTTGACAACAAATTCTAACCCGACCATCCGAATGTCGCAGCAAAAATCAAGACAGAAATCAGAACAAACAATGTTTTTCAGTCTTAATTAGTCTAATTTTGGTGATAATTTGCTAATTGTAGCCTGTTTCCTGTTCTTTGTTGACAGCAGTGACAACCAGTGTTTTCTTCTGCTGCTGCTGTAGCCCGTCCGCCTCAAGGTTTGACATGTTGTGCGTTCAGAGATGCTCTTCTGCAAACCTTGGTTGTAGTGAGTGGTTATGTGAGTTACTGTTGCCTTTCTATCAGCTCAAACCAGTCTGGCCATTCTCCTCTGACATCAACAAGGCATTTGCACCCCCAGAACTGCCTCTCACTAGATACATTCTCTGTAAACCCTTGAGATGTAAAAAAATCCCAGATCAGTGGTTTCTGGAATACTCAGGCCAGCTCGTCTGGCACCTACAACTATTCAGTCACTTAAATCCCCTTTCTTCCCCATTCTGATGCTCAGTTTAAACTGCTGCAGATCATCTTGACCATGTCTACATGCCTAATGCTGCGGTCACACTAGAGTTTGTGCATGCGGAAATCTGTTGTATGCCGCTGCGAAAAGGGGCGGGATTAAACAAAATGCTTAGACATTAAAAAAGGTGGTCTATATTTAAAATTTCTGTCCAGAGAGGTCATGTTTTGATCTTCGATTGATCTCATGCAACCATGTGATGCGATTTTACAGGTCAGAGTTTACCAAGCTTGAACTTTCCAACGCAGCGAACTGCGAAAGCTTGTTGCACAAGCTGCCGTTTCTGGCCTGGCGCATTCGCGTGTATATGAAGTTAAGTCTATGGGGAGTCCATGTGATTTGATGATTCGAAATTTGCGTTAACGAGCAGTTTGACAGGTGTACCTAATAAAGTGGCTGGGCTGGTGAGTGTGTGTCGGTGTGTGTGTGTGTGTGTATATATATATATATATATATATATACACATATATATATATATATATATATATATATATATATATATATATATATAAAACAATGATCTTATGTTCTTCTGGGAATGGAACTACTGGTGTGATGTGACAGTAATGAAGGCAAAATCACATTCATATTATTAAGATGACACCCATGTTTAATCCACTTTAACGTGCAACTCTAAACCTCTACACCAGATTTCATGTGTAGTATATCTTGAAGCTCGATCCAAACGGAACATACTTAAAGAATGCAGATTCACTTAACTCTGTATGAAAGAAACGGCAAGAGAGCATCTGCTGATCTGGTATTAGATGTGTTACAGCAGTACTGTACATTGCTAAAAATGTATTTAAAAAAAAGCAACAACAACCAACATGTGCGTTGTTTTTAGTTACTTTATTTAGAAATGCGATGCAACATTTTGTGGGGTGAAACCACGATTTATGTACATTTATTTACTTTCTCTTTATGTGTCCAAAATCCTCAGCTTCAAAAGGCTAAACAGGCAATTCCCGAGTCAGCACTAGTTCATATTGATGGAGCTTTTCCTCAGACCTTCAGTCTTTTGAACTGTTCATTATCTCCTCACGAGTTCCCAGTTCTGCCACATAAAGATATTGTCTCCTAATACAGAGATAGGACATCCTCTCTATGAAAGTTTGATGGCACAGAATCACATTTGTAAGGAAATGCACTTGTTGGTATCGTCATTTCAACTGCAGCACCACCTAAAATAAGACACAGTTTCAGAAGAGGTAAGTGTTGGCCTTCCTGTAGCTCAAATATGCTGCAATGCAAAGGATGTGGGTTTGATTTTTAGGGAAAGCAATTGCGATGTGATAAAGTTTATAAATCTAAATGAGGGTGTGATATTCCAAAATGCGTATAAAAATTGATGGAAACAGCATAGTCGAATTTAGCCGGTTAGACTGTAGGCATGGGCTGATATAAGTTTCTGATGGTATGATAACCTTGTTTCCCAGAGATGGGTTGCGGCTGGAAGGGCAGCCGCTGCGTAAAAATGTGCTGGATAAGTTGGCGGTTTATTCTTCTGTGGTGACCCCGGATTAATAAAGGGACTAAGCCGACAAGAAAATGAATGAATGATAACCTTGGATAAAAATATCACGGTTTCATAGGATTGAGATTACTGCTCTAAAATAAATTCTTTTCAAATGTCTGGATTTAAAAAACAACAACTAGCGGTTTCTAGTTTCTAGCAGGTTTTAAACCTTGACCATGCCTAGCAGGTTATGTATAACAAAAAATACTGACTCAATTTGCTTCTGAAGTTTATGTTATATGCACATAAAGAGGTGCACTAGTATATTCACTTTGAAGGGCAAAGCACAAACCTAAGAAACTATCATCTAAATTGATGGAAAGATCAACAATCAGCACAGATAGATCAACAAAAGCATTTCAATGCAACAAATAAAACAATAAATTTGTATGATTCTTTTAAATTAGCTTACAGACCAGCTTAATTCTAATAATATCAATACAAACTTTATTATTGATTCTTCAGTTTAATTTGAACTATTTCTTTCTCTCTCTGAAAGCCGTTAGTTGTCTGAATGCTGTTCTTTTATTTCTCCCTCTCAAAATAAGCACACTTGCTTATTGTGTGGCAGCCAGTGAGTTTTTCCAGTGATGTTTGTTCTCACATGTAAAGGCGTTATGATTAAGCTAATGTTTTTATTCAATCTTCCACATTTATCAGTTCTTAAAAGTGGATTTTGATCTCTTTAGGAACATTTTCAGGTGTTTTGGGTGAAGTGACTTTCAACAAAGGACAAAAATCTGTCAAATTTGTTGATGTTCATTTGTATATTGAAGACAAACTTTGAGTAGGTTTGGAACGACATTGGGATAAATAAAGTTTATCATTCATTCGTGTATTTTCTTAAACACAAAGCATTGGGATAAATAAAGTTTATCATTCATTCGTGTATTTTCTTAAACACAAAGCATTGGGATAAATAAAGTTTATCATTCATTCGTGTATTTTCTTAAACACAAAGCATTGGGATAAATAAAGTTTATCATTCATTCGTGTATTTTCTTAAACACAAAGCCGATTCCAAAAGAGTGTGGACACTGTACAATTTGTGAATAAAAAAGGAATGCGATAATTTACAAATCTCATAAACTTATATTTGGTAACACTTTATTTTGATGGTCCATTTGAGTAATAGTAGACTGTCTGCTTAATATCTGCTGATACTGCTCCTTTAACAGACATTTAACTGACTATAAAGAACTTTGCAAGTTCATGTCAACTTACACTAACCCTAACCTAACAGTCCACTTAATCCAATGAGAATTAGTTGGGATGTAGATGCAAAATAAAAGTGTGACCTTATATTTTATTTACAATGGAATATCGATAACATATCAAAAGCTGAAAGTAAACATTTTACATTATAGGCCAAACATTGGCTCATTTTGGATTTCAAGACAGCTACACATTCCAAAAACGTTGGGTCAGGTAGCAGTAAGAGGCTAGAAAAGTCTAATATATATATAGGGATCAGCCAGAGGACCAATATTCCACTTATTAGCTCAATTGGCAATATGATTGGGTACTTAAAGCCTCTCAGAGAGGCAGTGTCTCTTGGAAAGGAATGCAATAATTTACTAAACCCATAAACTTATATTTTATTCACAATAGAATATAGATGACATAGCAAATGCTGAAAGTGGGACATTTTAAAACTTCAGGCCAAATATTGGCACATTTTGGATTTCAAGACAGCTTCACATTCCAAAAAAGTTGGGACAGGTAGCAGTAAGCAATTGCATTATATTTCACTTATTAGCTCAATTGGCAATATGATTGGGTACAAAAAGAGCCTCTCAGAGTGGCAGTGTCTCTTGGAGGTCAAGACTTTGAAGTTATCACCATCTACAATTAATAATATTATCCAAAGATTCTGAGAATCTAGAACAATCTCTGTGCATAAGGGTGAAGGTCAGAAAACCATACTGGATGCACATGATCTTCGGGCCCTTAGATGGCGCTGCATCACAAAGAGGGATGCTACTATAATGGAAATCACAATATGGGCTCAGGTATACTTCCAGAAAACATTGTCGTTGAACTCAATCCACTGTGCTATTCATCGTTGCCGACTTAAGGTAAAAAAAGAAGTCATATTTAAACATGATCCAGAAGTGCAGGTGTTTTCACTGGACCATGGCTCATTTGAAATGAACTGTGGCAAGTGGAAAACTGTTCTGGGGTCAGACTAATCAAAACCTGAAGTTCTTTTTGAAAACTAAAGAGGACAGGGTAAACCCAAGTTGTTATCAGGGCTCAGTTTAGAAGCCTGCATCTCTGATGGTATGGGGTTGCATGAGTGTGTATGGCATATGAAGCCTTGACATCTGGAATGACACCATCAATGCTGAAAGGTACATCCAAGTTCTACAACAACATATGCTCCCATCCAGATGTCGCCTCTTTCAGGGAAGACCTAGCATGTCCCAACAAGACAATGTCAGACCACATACTGCATCAATTACAACATCATGGATGTGTAGAAGAAAGATCCAGGTACTGAAATGGTCAGCCTGCAGTCCAGATCTTTTACCCATTAGACAAAGAAGAGCTAAGACAGTTGAGCAGCTGAAAGCCTGTATTAGACAAAAATGGGAGAATATTTCTATTCCTAAACTTGAGCAACTTGTCTCCTCAGTCCCCTGATGTTTGCAGACAGTTGTATAAAGAAGAGGGGATGCCTCACAGTGTTAACCATGGCCTTGTCCCAACTTTTTTGAAATATGTTTATGCCATGAAATATAAAATTTACTTGTTTTTCCCTTAAAAGGATACATTTTTCACAGTTTAAACATTTGACATGTCGTCTATGTTCTATGATGAATAAAATATTGAAATTTGGAACTTCCACATCATTGCACTCAGATTTTATTCACAATTTGTACAGTGCCCCAAATTTTGTGAAATTCGGTTTCTATATATGGCTGATTCCAGCGTTATGGATGTGACATTTGCAGTAAAAATTCAAAACATAAATTTGCAGAGAAAGTATACGTTAACATTATATTTTCCAAAACAACTAACCACAGAGTTATGGGATCAAAAAATTTCAATCTGTGAACATTTTTATACTTTAAATGAGGAAAATAAACAAGTGTTATGGATGTGACAAAAAAAGTCTGCGGGTTTACAGTATACAACATGTTTCATAAAAAATTCTGTGAATTAAACTGCACAACCCAAAATAAATAATTCTCAACAAAAGGATAAGAGTTGGCTCTTTATAGAACAAAACTGATTTATTTTATTTTATTTTGACATTTTTGCATTTTTGAGGGAAAATCTTTGTTATGGATGTGACACTTTTTCGTTATGGATGTGACGGATGTGAAATTGCCATTTGTTTGACTTTGGTAAATCAAATATATTAGTTTGAAAACATTGACAGAGGCATTTTTAAGTATTTTTAAAGTACTGTAAAACACTTGCCTGCGCAAAAAATGTAGGAACGGTTTCGCTATTTTGGTGAAAACAGTTTTCTTTTCATGGCAAGGTTGACATTTTCATGGAATTGCTCATATATATTAGGGGTGTAACAATTCACAAAAATCACTGTTCGATTCGATACGATACAGTGGTGTCACGGTTCGGTATGTTTTGATACAGCAAAAAAAGAAAAAAAGCCAGAAGATTTCTCTGATTTTATTTTTTTAATGTATTAAAACTAACATCATAAAAGTATGATCTTGTTTTTTTTTCTTTTACGTTAAACAGTGATAGAGCTACTGTATACTTCTGGGGCTTCTGCTTAGCAGCAAATAAAACAAATCCTTCTTTATACTCAAAACCAAAAAGCTTTCTATAAAAAAATAAATGTAATAATGTAGCAGTTAAACAAATACAAAGAAAATAACTATTTAGTTTTTTATATGGAACTCAGTTTCAATCAATGTTTAAGTCATTTTTTATTTTCAGAAAGATGAGTGTCCACCTTTTCCTCAGACAGCACAGATCTGCTGGATTTGACTGTCACCTGCCATTTTAGTGGATCTGAATGCAGGAATTATCTCACTGAAATAGGCTTATGAAGGAATAATGTAACGGGGCTCTATTACATTAAACATTTTCTCAAAACCCGAAATTACTACTACCAATTAAGGTCTAACAGGGCTCGAAATGAACTTTTTTCTTGGTAGCATCGGTGTTCATAACTTCAAAAATTTAGGCGCACCAGACAAAATTTAGTCGCAAACACCTAAAAAATGACGAGCACCGTTACTACTCGTTTTATAGTACCAGACTCTATTATATATTAACACTCTAATCACAATTAACAAATAAACAAAAATCTGCATAGGCTCACCGACCCTGCACGCACTGCTTGACGTGAATGAGATGAACTGAATTAACAATAATAACTGTGCTGTTCTCACGGGTGGTGGCTGATATTGCACAGACGATATATTAACTTATTATTTGCATACGTCATCTTAATAGCAAAACAGGTCTGTTCATGAGCTGCAATATTAGTTTCATCTCAGTGAATGCATACTCTTTAAGGATGGTGACCGCGGTATCAGTCGCACGATTGACAGCATCGTGATGATTAAATGAAGGATTAAACAACATTAGAACATTTCGTGCTTAAAATGTGTAGATTCAGGGACAAACACTGTTACCTGAAAACTCCGTCCCACTGGCTTTACGGTGAATGCTTTAGTCACAGCGGACTTTAACCACTGGAAGTCTTTTATCCATTCTTCGAAAAGTGTAAATGCTGGATTGACATTCAGCAAATGATCACTAATCATATGTGTCATTAGTTGTAACCATAGACTGTAAAATATATGGACGTAGTATCCGTGACGACACCCATAGGTTTCTGAAGAGCGCAAAAGAAGCCACAAGTAGGCGCGGCCAACCGTCGCCATTTTGGTCACGCGTCATCACACCCACGGCGGGATACCAAACAAGGGCAAAGAGGCGGAGAGTGAGCGGAGCTACAGACACCTGCTAGCATTTAGCTTGGACCTGGTTCAGACACACTTTACTTTGGGAGAACGCCTAATACTTTATCACCTGTGACTCGTTTGTATTCTGACCACTTGTGCTTGGTTGTATACTATATCAATAAAGTGTTTAGACTTTTAAAAACACTGCTGTAATACATTGAGCCACTAAACATTGTTCTTATGACGTTTTTCAACAGGAGGAAAACGCAAATTACTTACAAACACATCAGATATAGTCTGTGTTAGTTACTGTAAGACTATTGATAAAATCCAGCATAACACTGTATGACAACGCTTCAGATGACTGTTCTAGAGCCTACAGCTAATCAATCTGACAGATTCTGGAGTGCATTACAGCTCTAAATATAAATATAAACGATAAATGATCTTAAATAAAACAAATACATGTATTGAGATGGTAGATATGTATATAACTTTACTCACATGGGAAACGGAGGCCACGTGAATAGTTTGTGAGCACAATTAAGTGCCCTCAGCATGCCATGCCATCTAATAATTGTGGGAAACAAGTCCAGAGGCAGTTGACTGTGTAAAGCCACATAAAACAACACAGAAATACGATAAATATGCCGAGTTCAGTGGCTAATCTGCAGGATTGACGTGACGTGACGTGACGTGACGTGACGGCGACCAGCGAGACCTAGCTGTCAATCAAGTGACCTCGCCCTTAATTATGCAAACTTAATATAACTTAATATAAAGGAAACAGATGAGTTATAAAAAAAATTCACCCCCCTCACGGTTGTCATGAAGGGTAATATTACCTGTATTAACCAAAATCTTTTTTTGTACCAGGCTGTAAACACCTTTTTTTCTGCTGTAAAGTTGGCCATTCTAACAGTGGGCTCAATTGAAATTTGCTCTGTTTTGGAGCCAGGAGCGGCCAGGACTAGCGGAATTTCGGATGAATTGCAGTTTTAGTTACTTCCGTATTGGCTTCCTGAGGGAGAGCGGGAGGTTGCCGCTTGGTTGTAACTCTAGCTGGTTTCTAAAACTAAATCTGTCAGTGTTGTTTTCATTCTCTCGGATCCACACCTTTACATTTTCACAGCTGTGGCACCCTGTCATCGAAACTGAGTGATTGACAGCTGATATGAACCAATGGATTTGCGTTCTGTTTTAGCAGAGTGGGCCAATAACAAGAGCTTGAAGGCTGGGCAAGCGTTGCAGAATTTTTGTACTAATTCTCTTTTATCTTTTTAGATATTAGTCTGAAACGTTCAGTTTGCAATGCGTACCAAACCGAAAGTCTCGTATCGATTGGCTCAATACGAATACGCGTATCGTTACACCGTTAATAATATAATATAATATTATAATAAAATAATATAACTAAGAAGAAATTTTATATTTTATATATATTTATATAATTTTGGCACAAAGTAACTCTTTAAGCATTACCTTATTAGCCGCCTCTAGCGCACTGATGAGAGTCTGCAGCTCCTCTTTATTCATTTCTATATTCACCGATCTCTGAATGCCGTTCTCTTTCAGGTCCAGACTGAGATTTAGCAGAGGGGTGTTTAAAGCCGACAGCTTGTCGCTTGATAATGCCAGCTAGAATAAGATAGAAGTAAAGAGAGGAAGAAATAAGAAAGGAACACTACCAAATGGAAAAATCAATTATCTCCTCTTATCGCTATCATTAATGGATTTGTGTAAGCATGGCTTTCTGTGTACCTTTAACTGCCAGTTAAAGTCACGTAGCTGTGTGCTAGAGATGCCATTGGTTCTGTCCACCAAAGCCCGTCGGATCTCCTCGAATCTGGAGCGCACACACTGGAGAACAGCCTCTGTGTGTGTCGGGTCCAAATCACTCAGCAGTGTCTGCATCTTCAGACGTGTGCACAAAACAATCAATTCAATTCAATATTTGCTTTATTCGATGTCAAATGTTACAAATGTATTGCCAAAGCATTTATAAAGTTTACATTAAAAGAACATACTATATATATATATAATAAAAAAACATAGTAAACACAGTTAATAGTATGGTATTATAAAATATGTTAGTATAATAATAATAACAACTAAATAAAAATAATAAATCAGAATAAACTGTACATTTAACAGTCAACATTTATGAATAAAACAGTAATAATAAATAATGTGTGTGTGTCTGAGTGTGTGTTTACATGCGCATCACTGATGTTTTAATTGGTCTGCTCTCTCTTTTTGTGACAGGCATTAATGTATTAAGCCACTAGAAGGATTCAATAATTTTTTTCCCCTAGTAAATATTGCAGTTGTGTTTCATTGTCTAACTCCGTGAATTGTGGGTAAATGCTCTGTAGTTTGGGCTATAATGTTTCTCTGATGTGCTGATAGTTTGTGCAGCGGGTGAGGAAGTATTCCTCCGTCTCCACCTCTGCTTGGGCACAGTGTGGGCAGATGTGACGCTCTCTGGGTTGCCAGTTCTGTCCGTATCGGCCCGTCTCTACAGTCAGGCTATGAGCACTCAACCTGTATTTGGTCATTGTAATTCTTAATTGGCTGTCCTTAACTGCACTCAGATATGTTGCGGCCGTATAATCTCTATTTAGGTCTAAATAACATTGAAGTTTACTTTGTTTTCCGGCTGCTTTATTCCAGTAAATCAGATACTCCTCTTTTCGTGCATTTATCATTTGATTGGGCTTAATTTTGTGGATGAGCATTTTCATGTCCTGATGCTGCCTGATGTTAGTCATGTTTGTTGTGTTGGTTTGTAACTTCAGGACTATCTAAATCAGAGGACTTTTTCAATGTCCATTTCTTGGTTTTGAGGGCCTTAATATGATAAGAGGTGGGGTCACTCATTTTTATGTGTTTACAAAATTTGACGGCTCGTTTCTCAATGTGCATGAGTAGAGAATACTGGCCTAATTCTGCCCTGCATGTGTTGTTGGGTGTGTTCCTCATCCATCTACAAAACCTAATCAATCTCAAAGTCAGACGACCAGTAAATCTAATTCAACATTTACAGGAGTCAAAATATCTAAAAAATTCTTAAATCAAGAAGCATTTTGTAGAAAAGCAAAAATATTGTCTTGTTTGTTCAAAATGAAGTTAGTTTTTAATGTAAAACAAGCAAATATATATATATATATAATATATATATTATAAATAAAAATATAAATATAATCTGCCAATAGGGGAAGCAAAATAATCTTGTTTTTCTTTTTGACAAGCTTGTTTTAGGAAAAGCTCACTGGAATTTGACATATTATTTCTTAAAACAAAATAATATGCTTTCCTTATCAAGAAAATGCTACTTGATTTAAGATTTTTGAGATATTTTGGCTAGAAAAAAGACAAAAAATCCAAGTAGGAAAAACATTTTTTGCAGAGTATCCACCTATAATAATTGGGAACCAATAATTCTTTGTGAGAGTTGTGGGAGTCAGTGCAATAAAGTGGCATTATCCTTACAGTTCATCTACTGATTGTTTAAAAGAAACACTGCTTCATACTTTCAGCAGAGTGTAAATAGCCCCAAAACCGCAAGACAAGCATTTCTGCAGCAATATTACAGAAAAGTTGAATATCTGATAAAGACAATATAAAGAGAAACTAATCTGAAGGAACAAAAACAAAGTGAACACAAAAGAGTTTTGGCCACAGATGTGCTTGTGATACTGATGTCATGTTAAAACATAAAGCTTAACATTATTTTCACGATAGATTAAAAAGTCAAAATCCAAACATACCTATCACTCTATGTATATGGATTATTGGAGCACAACCATGTGAAAGTAGATAATGGAAGTGATTTGTTTCTTTTCCTTAAATTTCTTTTAAATGGAAGTTTCCCAAATCAAAAGCACAACCAATAATTTGAAATAATATGAGTTGTCATGAGTGGAAAAAGGTGGATATATTTGTGTGTTTGTTACCTCTTGATCCGAGCAGCCCCTTCCTACAGCAAAGCGGATGAGAGAGGAGAGACTGTTCATTAACTCCAGCCATTCTGTCAGACTCCAGCGGTCACTGTAGTCTGATCTACTCGGCCCGCTGCGTCCACACACCTCATCCACCACCCTGTGTATGAGCTGGCAACACAAATAAACACAAACAAATGAGGCCTTCAGTGTTTAAAGTCAAGATGCTAGAGATCATAATATACACTCTTTGCTCATCTAGAATGCTTGACATTTCAATTTTAATATTTAAACACGACTAATATAAACTGTAAGTTGATGAAATACAACTGTTTATGTGACGGTGCGATGGCTCAGTGGATAGCACTGTCACCTCACAGCAAGAAGGTCGCAGGTTGGAGTCCCAGCTAGGCCAGTTGGCATTTCTGTGTGGAGTTTGCATGTTCCCCCCGTGCTCGCGTTTCCTCCAGGTGCTCTGGTTACCCCCACAGTCCAAAGACATGCGCTATAGGTGAATTGAATAAACTAAATTGGTCGCATTGTGAGTGTGAATGAGTGTGTATGGGTTACGGCTGGAAGGGCATCTGCTATGTAAAACATATGCTGGATAAGTTCATTCCACTGTGGCGAATCTTTATGAATGAAGGAACTAAGCTGAAGGAAAATGAATGAATGAATGAATGAATGAATGAATGAATATAATTGATGCAAAAAAAAAGTGTTGTTTTATTTAAGGAGGTCTCTATTGATAATTGTTGTTAGTGTCTGGATGTATTATAGTTAATTAAAGCACTTCACAAAAACAACACAATATAAATCCAAGCGACATAAACAGAAAGAAAAAAAAACACAGAAAACAATCATCAGGGATAATTACAATAATTAAGTGGGGTAATTAAAGTGTATTTCCATTAATGTTGAAGCACTCTTTGCTTCAGCTGCCTTAAGGATTTATAACAAAATCAATACTTTACGAATCTGCCAGTTTTGTCCAATCCTGTTTCTAGATTGAGATCAGAATTACTTAAGGGAGGTTCTACCAAAAATTTACGTTTTCACTTATAAAAACATGACAGGGCCTGATTTAAGCGTGTCCTAAAAAAATCATACAAAAACAAGCATAAAATCATACAATTCAATGATAGAATGATCACTGTCAGCTTCTTGTCAGATGATGTCACTTCCTTTAAGTCATACCCTTAAACGTTGCATTTTATGTTAAATTAAATGCAAATGTGTCAGGACTGACAGTAACATATGGACACTTATAATTTTATTTGTATTAGGTAATTGTAGTATTTATTTGTGGAATTATTTTATAATTTAATGTTTTAATCAGTTGATGTGAACGATAAAATATTAAACTTCCTTTTTCTGAAACTTTTTTTTTTTTCTAAATAAGCATAACAAAACTATTAAAGCTGTAAGTTTAACTGGGCTGTGGACAAGGACAAAGCCAGGGTTTGTAAAGTGTAAAGTGTTTTAATAAAGAACGAAGCTCTGAGAAACAAATGATTGACATATTCCTGTACAAAACAGCTCACAGAAATCAACCATCAGTCCATTTTAGACATTTTTGGTATGAAATACTTTATTCACTGTATTTATGTTTTTTTTATTTCAGGGACAGGTAATGTACGCTTCTGGTAGATTGTCCCTTAAATTATAGCTTTTAAAAATTGGGGAACATTTATAATAGCATTACAAGTAAATTGATAATAAATGAACAACGAACTCTGCAAGAATTTTTCACAAAACTTTAATGTCTGCATTGATGAAGAAGCGTATGTATATCAATCGCAGTTTGCTTCTTCTGAAATTGAAACAGATTCAGTTTTACTATTTGTGCATTTTTGTCATTTCATAAAATGTAAATTCGAACAAACAAATGAAATACTTACTTTAGGGCATTCTTCAGACGGTAATTTCTCGAGCAATTTGATCATTGTGCTGTCAGACTACTCCCTCGGCGTCAGTGATGTCAGCTGATCAAGCGTCACGTGACTTTATCATCTTCTCAATCGTCTTCAGACTGCACATTGTTGTGTGCGTTCTGGGAATTATTAATAAACATTTTCACATGTCTATTAAATGTACATGTTAACGTATAACTGGCTTTTTCTGAGCTGTCACAGTTAGATTTTACTACCGACACCCGGAACTACATGACTACATGAACTACTAAAATTTCAAAATAAAAGTCCAAAGCCCTGTTATGAACTAAAGATTTTAATCTAATATTAGAAACTTGACTGACTTTATTTAAAATATATTTATATAAATAATGTTCATTTATTTTAAATTAATATGTGTATTTTAGGCACCTGAACACTTTTTTTTCCACGAAAAAAGGTTTCCAACATGTCGTATTATCTTAAAAAAAACTAACCTGTAATAATATTTTTATTTATCATAAAAATGTATATGTTTACGTAAAAACATTTTATTTGTTTACTTCATTTGAATATGATTGTGCACACAGAAGATTAGGTTATGAGTAGTGTAATGTTTGGTGGGTGGTGGTAGGTGACTGTCAGTGGCTGCCGCCCGCGCGGTTCTTGTACGGTCGTCAGATCAGATGTAACGTTAGCAAAAAGTTCTCCTTTTTAGGTCGCTGTAGGCCATTTATTTAATGTGACCAGTGTACCGTAAACCGGAAAGCTGATGCAGGATTAATGTACAGGAGCCTAACGTTTAGTTTGAAATGTGGCCACTCCATGAGACAACGGTGAGTTTACGGCTGTATTATTCCTAAATATGTACTGGCTGCTGCTGCTTTTCTATCTGTCCAGGCATCTCATATAGAGTTATGATTGCAGCGGTTTTATGGCTTTACACTCCTTTGAACTTCGCTTGCTCTCTCGAGGTTAACGTCAGATTCACATCTATTGTGCACGTTAACGTTACCGGATGGAGCTTTTATCTTCCAACAACTCAAGTTTTGAAGCATTACGATGTTTTAACAACGTCTTACAAGTAGCACGTGATAGGGTCGCGTTATTACACGTTTTCTTGACCCAAACCATTGAATATTTTGTTAACTATCTGTTTAAAATTAGACAGGTTCCATTGTGACAACTGAACATCAAGGTTAGCCCAGATCAGGTGACAACACCCTCACGCTTTCAATTACTTACTGTAAATAAATGTAAAAATGTATAATACCTTTTTGTAGGCAAGACCCTAAGCTATGTGCATGTTCAGAAGCTGACACTAAAATAAACCTAGCCAGAGAAATGTTTTAGTAGAAAAATTCTGACTAGATATCTGCACAAGCTATATAGAGTTTTTTTTTTTTTTTTTTTTTGATATTGCGTTTAATGCTGTAAAACTAAAGACATGGTAAAATTTAAAAACATGGTAAAATGGTAAAAACATGGTAAAACTTAGCTGGAAAGTGTTGACAATCTCTGTTTTATCTTAACCATGAGAGTATTTGGTGAAAACAAATCATAGTCAGTTATAAAGCCATTTTGGCATTTATCGCTAACAAATATGTTTGTGTCATGTGAACTAATTAATTATTTAGAAATAGAAAATATGTTTCAGTTATAAATAATAACACTTTAATTTAGTGTCCTTGTTACACATCTCACATAGTTTAGTAATAACTAGGGCTGCGTTTATAAACATACTTATATTGAATCATGATCAAATTTGTCAATAACAATATTAATGATCGGATTTTTTTACCCTGTATTGTTTTTGAGTCAATCAAACAGCAGAAATGTGCAGAAATTGGAATCTAGTAGGGTTGTCACTATACCATTAGTGATCTTACGGTATACCAGCTGAAGTATCACAATACCAAGTAGTACTGTGATACTGTAATTCATAACTCAAATTATAAGTCAGAAATATAATATTTTATGTTATAATAGGCCTACTTGAATGTAATTCGTTATTCCCTTAAGGCCAAAAAGTATTATTTGCACCTGACCCCACTTTACCAAAAATGTATTTATTCTTTTTGTTCATTTTGTAGACCAGTGGTTCCCAACCTTTTTCTTTGGGGCCCCCCCCATGAACATATACAAACATTGGAGCCCCCCCACCATATAAATACACACGCACGCCCACACATATGTACTGTCTATATATATATATATATATATATATATATATATATATATATATATATATATATATACTGTATGTGTGTGTTTGTGTAATATTAATATATAATATGTATAGAAAATATAAATTAATCACTTTTAACTTGTCTTGGCCTTCAATACAACTAATCTTTGTCTAATCTTTTTCTTTGCCTCTGAAGAACCACTGCATTTACGTTTCTCTGCCATTTTTGTTTTGATTTTGCCTTTACGACGCGTTGGACAAGCACATTGCGTGAGCAAAATTTAAATAATTATTTAAAGTTATTTATTTTAATTTTACTATTATATTGGAATTTTAAGCATGTTTTGATTTAGATTTTTTTTAGTACTTGAAAATACATATATAATAGTAGGGCTGCTTGATTTTGGGAAAATCATAATAACAATTATTTTGGTCATAATTGTAATCACGATTATTCAAAATGATTATCAGTTAAAGTCAAAATTATTAGCGCTCCTGAGAATTTTTTTTTTTAAGAAATATTTCCCAAAATTATGTTTAACAGAGCAAGGAATTTTAACAGTATTTCCTATAATATTTTTCTTCTAGGCTTATTTGTTTTATTTTAGCTAGAATAATAACAGGTTTAAATATTTTGAAACCAATTTAACTTCAATATAATTAGCCCCCTTATGCAATATATATTTTTGATTGTCTGCAGAATAAACTACTGTCATACAATGACTTGCCTTATTACCCTTATTAAGCCTTTGAACTGCACTTTAATCTGAATGTTTGTATTTTGAAAAATATCTAGTAAACTATTATGTACTGTCATCATAGCAAAGATAAAAGAAATAAGTAATTAGAAACGAGATATCAAAACTAATATGTTCAGAAATAAGTAAAAAAAAAGTCTTCTTTCCATTAAACAGAAATTGGGCTGGAAAATGGTTGCTAATATTCAGGAGGGCTAATAATTCTGACTTCAAGTGTATACAGTTATTTCCACCTTGCAAAGGAAAGAGAAATAAATACAATAGAATAAAAATATTAAACAAACTGTGATTTAAGCATCTTCACTGTAAGAAAAACACTTTAGCTACAGCAGTCCTTCAGTCAAGACTAGTGAGGGATTTTGTCATTGTTTGATTAATGATAAAAACAGGCGGTAGCAGGAATATTTCTCGCTGTCTCTTTAATGGTTTCTCTTTCACGTCTTTTGATCCTCAACTCGTTTGTTTATTACACAAATGAGGGTTAATATAAATAATCAATAAAAACAGCGTTTTGACATCTATTTGACCATTAATGCACTCACGTTAAGATGACTTTAGATGTCTGCGCTCCGCTGCTCGTCTCAGTGTGCGAATGAGACCGAATGCTGACCGGCCGCATGCTTCTGACTGCGTGTGCGTGCTGCACACACAAATAAGCACGCAGTCTTTCGCGCTTTTAGAAGCAACAAACGTGAACAACTGGAAAGGGGGCGGTTTATGATGCAATAAACTTTATCTCGATTAATGCTTTTTTAATAATCGTTTGAAATCGAAACCGGATTTTCGATTAATTGTACAGCCCTATAAAATAGTGGAGCATTTTTATGCCTTTTTCTACCTCAACACTTATCCTCTCCCGCGCCCCCTTGTGAACTCTGGCGGACCCCAGGTTGGGAACCACTGTTGTAGACAACTGACCAACAAAAATACATTAAAATAAAGATACAAATTATACCAAATGAAATTTGTTACAAAAGAGCATTTTTCCAACAAAATTAGGCTACTGTATATGAAGTGGTCAAAAATTGTTTCAATGTTTCCTGTTGCTATTTTGTGTTTTTCATCTATTTTTTCAGTCTTATCAGGTAACAATCCAAAGTAATTAAAAATGTTAATTTATGAGTCTTTCTTTTAAAGTGATTGTTGTGGTCTATTGTTGCACAAACATGGGCACTTAGTGACTTTTCCACATGCAACATTATCTACGGTAGATAAACCATTAATCATAATACTGTTTACAAACTACAGTGGCACTACCAGTATTTTGTAGCCATAGGATTGCGATACTACCATAGTACCACATAGAATCTGGAAGTGTGTTGATATTTTGCCCACCAAAAAAATATTGTCCGAAAATACATTATGCCGCTTAATGGACTCTTAATTTTTGTGGCTTCAGTTATTGTTGGGATGCTCTTTTAAATCTGGAAGCATTAACAACTTACCTTGAAATATACAGTTGAAGTCAGAATTATTAGCCCCCCCTTTAAATATTTACTAAATGATGTTTAACAGAGCAAGCACATTTTTACAGTATGTCTGATAATATTTTTTCTTCTGGAAAAAGTCTTATTTTTTTATTTTGGCTGGAATAAAAGCATTTTTAAAAAATTTTTAGAAACCAGTTAAAGGTCAAAATTATTAGCCCCTTTAAGCTATATTTTTTTGATAGTCTACAGAACAAATCATCGGTATACAATAACTTGCCTAATTACCCTAACCTGCCTAGTTAACCTAATTAACCTAGTTAAGACTTTAAATGTCACTTTAAGCTGTATAAAAGTGTCTTACAAATGAGTTATCTTAGAAATGAGTTATTAAAACTATTATGTTTAGAAAATTGTGTTGAACAAATCTTCTCTCCGTTAAACAGAAATTGGGGGAAATATAAACAGGGTATCTAATAACTCAGGGGGGCTAATAATTCTGACTTCAACTGTATATTGTTATCGTTCAATATGGAAAATAATTATTGAGATCGCATTATTGCCATATTGCCCTGCCCTAGTAGTAACAGTATATTATGCATAATTACATGCAGTAGCTTTTAACCAAGCCCTTATCCGAACCCTAACTATAATATTTATCAGTATTTATGCCAATGGCACAGTAAGTTATTGACACCACAATTTCTTAAATCAA